CTGACAGCCATCCAGAATGATATCCAAGTAAACAAATAAAGTTAGAGAAAATATATACACACAGCTAAGATTTATTCGCATTATTTAGGTGGTAAAATACAACTGAACTGATTATTAATAAAACTAAGATTTGTCTACCTTTAAATCAACATTAAATAGAGCCCAATTGTAATAATATTTAGGAAATTCCTCATTTGTCCGAATGTAATCAACATTGAATGGAAACAAACGCCTGCACACCCTTGGCTCCGTGTGACACGGGGGAGGAGAGGGGGGGGGCAGTTTTAAACAATTGAACGCAGCCTGACCCATAACTGTAAACAATGATGTTGACTGAGCGGCGGTCTGAAGTCCACCCAGTCCACCAACTCTGCTGGGAAACTCAACGACGCTCATCGCCTCATATAAGGAGAAGATGAGAAACAACACATTGGAGGCAGAATATAAAGAGTTACAAACAATCACACACTGAAGGTTTTGTCATTTAAACTGATAACATAAACAGGATTTGGTCAACCCCGCATGATTACAGGATTTGGAGATTACATAATCAAGAGCAACAATGATATCCACTAAACGCCAATAGGGAAGTGAACCGTTAAGCACACTGGAATCTGGCTGCTGGCAGCAGCCTTAAGATAGATGTGAACAAATGCATTCCTCAGCGCTCCCATGCCTAAACTGAACCTTGGCATGTTATGCAAGCATGCGACCAAAGCTGCAAACACAATCATGCGAGATCCCATCGACTTATTCTGGTTTTATTGAGGGGATATGTTTGAGCAGCGGCAAATGATAAGATTACCAAGAGATGATGGGCAAAGTTTACTGCAGATTCTCGCCTCAGCAACAAGCAGCATGTGTGATCAGCTGCGCTACAGCAGCTGCGTTAGCTAAACTTAAAGATGGCCAGTCTTCACACAAACACCCGTCGATTAATCCCAAGTGCGCAGAGGGTTGCCGGGGCAAAAAGATTGTCACAAATAGAGTTGAGAAGCAGGAAAACGGCAGCAGGTCGTGACTGAACTGATTTGACAGCTGACGGGCCAAGACACGCATGTCTGAAGGCTGTTTACGTTTACATCACAGGGTTAAAATTTACTGCAACGACAAACACAGAAAGGTTAGCGCAGCACATCTACACCGTTTCATTTTCCAGGTTTTTATGGTCAAATTTAACTTTAGTATCAAACTCTGAGTCTTTTAGGACTAAATGTAGACGCATTCATGTCCCCTGAACTTTCCCATCTTAGTACAACTGTATTTTATTTGGGATTTTTTGATCTAGCAACACAAAGTAACGTATAATTAAGAAAAATACATGGTTTCTAACATTTTTTAACTGTAAAAAGTATTAGGGTTGAAATGGTCAATCAAATCAATCGTGATTAATCAATTATTGAAATAATTGTCAACTAATCGTTAACTGCAAAATACAAAAAAAAGGCCATTTGGTGACAAAAAACTAAAATGCAGCGCAGTAATTAAGCCAAAACTGTAAAAAAAAAAAAAAAAAAGTATATATTTTGCATGCAAGACAGAAATACTTGTCTGTAAATATGTTTTAGTCAAAACTACTCAAGATTTACTAAAGCAAAGCTACGATATTGCATTTTAGGCAATAAAATGTTTAAAAAAGGAATTGGATTATTTGTTTATTTACGTCTTCTAAAGTATTTCTAATATTGTTTATTAAAAAATGCTTGTGGTTGAATGAAAAATCTGTAAAATGTGCCATTTTTTATCCAATTAATCGACTAATCATCAGACTAATTGATAGATTAATATATTTCTAAAATATTTGCAAGTTGCAGCCCTAGTTTGTATTCACCCTCCCTGTGCAAATACCTTTTGTCACCTTCTTGTTTCCATTACAGCTGCAAGTCTTTACAAATAACACCTTGAACGGTTTTCTTCCACCTTCCAATCACGCTGTACTTCGTGTTGCTCCATCACATAAAATCCCAACGAGATGCACTGAAGTTTGTGGTCGGAACGTAACAAATGTGAGAAGAGGAAAGTTTTTCCAACACTAAATAATTCTCACTGAAAAGAAAAAACACGTTTTCCATTCCGTCTAAAAAAATAAGACTGACTACCTTTGCTTTGGTTTTAAATGCAGGTAGCCAGATAACCACCAACTACACAAGAACAGCTTAAAAAAAAAGAAGAAAGATTAACAGGTAATTGTGATTATATAACTCCAAAGCTGAGGGGGGAAAAAACATAATACTTACAATTAAGCAAAACCTGCTTACATGAGCAGGCAGGAACAGGATATGTTGTTTTTTTTAACTCCATCTATGTTGCATAAAAAAGTTGCAATATCTCACAGGAGGGGAGGGCAGCTGAGCTGATCTATCCCTTTTTTATTACAACTTCACAGCAGGAGATTGCTTAAGCTCAACATGCCAATACAAGACAAAAAACAACCCTACTTTAACTCATTTTAAAAATCTCATGTGCACATAAACTTGTTCCCTTTCAGTCACCTCTGACCTCCTTCCTTGTGCAAGCTCCACAGCTGCACATGACTGCTGGTCTCCTGGGGATGTGGTCCCTTTTTGTTGCCCAAATGTGGACACTTTCCATTATAAGCTGACGTACGCTGAGCTTTAAAAGTCCACCAGACTAAATTTGTAGACAAGAGGCAACATATTTTTGCATCGAAGCCACCAGTCTATCAACAGCAGGTTGAACTCAAAATAACAGGCCGAGCACACACCTACTGCACGCTTCGTGAACGGTGAAAAACAATGCCGTTTGTTCCACATCTTCAGGCACTTTCCACTGACCATGCCAGCAACGTGGACGGGAACATAATGGAGGGAAACGGTGTTATATGAAAGGGAAGGGGAGATCCTTGCATCACTGACAGGAACTTTTTTTTTTTTTTCCTCCCCCTTGTGGAAACCACTCGACTATTTCCAAAACGTTTCAGGAAAGCGTTGCAAACACAAACCATCTGCAAAAGATATTTAATTTTCTTTTCAATGTGTGAAATAAAGCTGTTCGGCTCGTAAACTGAGGCTTCAATGCCCACAAATGAGATCTTTGAACTGCTTCATGGGTGTTCCAGTGAATTCACTAATAAAAGATGAATCCCAGTGAAGCAGCACTGCCTCGATTATTTGGCAGAGGAATCAGTTCACATGGCCTCTAAGAGAAAGAGGAACTCCGAATTTTCACTACTGCTTTACCCTAGCAACGTTCCTACAAGAAACACACAAAACCACAGTCATTTTAAACCTCACGCTGAACACTGAAGGTGTACGATGACTGAAAGCTTGCACTGAATCACCAGGACCCATTAGGTGCCGACTGCCAGGCTCAGGATCAGTACACTTCCCTGTTTCATGTAATCCAGGATGTCGTAGTAACAAGTAACTTAAGCCTTAAAGGTTTGCTTTAGGATATGAAGCTGTATGCTATACAGGGTTTCCCTCGGTGTATCATAAGCCTGGTGGGCCACCAGGCTTTACTTGTGCCCCCACCAGGCTAAGAACTGCTTATTTATTTAAGTCTTTTAAAAATACTTGGATTTTTTTTTAAGACTTTACAGTTGGTGTCCGGATATTAATCTTTCAATAACACAGAATTATCAAGTGATATTTTCAAATTTCCTATCAACTTTAAACATTTTTTAACTCAAAAACGTGGCAGGCTGCTGGATGAACAACTGCCCTAGCGCTCAACCACCAGGCTTAGCAAGTTATCTGAGGGAAACCTTGCAATATGCAACATTGTAACTGTAATATTAGGAGGTAGTAATTTAGGAACGTTGTAGATACTTGTCTGTTTCATTGTAAATACAGTAATTCGCATACAATTTTATTTTTTATGTGTGTATTAAGTCAGTGCTTAAAACATGCGTCATTGTGCCTCTTCACCCAGGGTACCTTTGTCTTAGGGGCGCACTTTTCTCAGGTAGAGTCAAAAATTGAGTATTTGTGTTTTGAACTAAAGAAAATAGGAAAAAAAAAATTAAAAAAAAAGAATTTAAGTGTATTTTTTGGTACACTTTAAAAAAAAACAGAGAAATTGACTCCTTCCTTTTAGTTTAAGATCAAAACTACTGATTAAACCAACATGTTCACAAAACCTTTGTTATATTTGGATACAGGATGCCATTAATGCAAAAGCTGGAACTAGTGATGTTTAATCTTTATGTGTAATCCTGATTATCATAACCTGATAATCTGATACACACCCATGCCAATTATTTTAAGCTGCTTCTTGCCATTATGAGAAATAAATTAAAATAAATAACTAAATTGAAGACGATTAGGAGTCGCAGACTCGCTGCTACATAATTTATTTTTATGAATGTCACCGGAGTTATACCTGTACAGTGTAAAAGTAAAGACTTAAACCTGTCACCCGGTTGTCAATGCGTAAAACTGACTGAACTAAGTAAGGATCCAGTTTTCAAGAGAAATCTGTGGAGGCAGAACCATTTTTTTCTTGAGAAGTTGGACCGATTTTGCAATGTTGTGAGCCTTTAACATGACATGCACCAGGAGGTTATCTTCACTTGCGAAACCTGCCCCGCCCTTTATCACTACAGGCAAAGAAACACTGTGAATCTCTCTAGCAAGATATATGCAGCTGATGAGAAACGGCATAAATGAACCAGCTGTTAACCAGACGTTACTGACCAAGCATTTGGCAAACAACGCCAGAACTATCGTTGCTTATTTCAGTTTACTTTTAATGCTCTGGAAAACTAAATATACTCCAGCACAGGCATTGATAAATGTGATCAAGTTCAAAAGTGTATCTTTTTAATCAAGCTCACATATTCCCACATTTGTTACCAGTATTTACAACTAATATTGTTATTTTTATACTTTACTTAGTAGTCAATCGATTTCCCTCTTATTGGGAAGAAAGTCTAAGTTAGCCCCTAGTTAGCTTTAATGTTAGCGAAAGAGCCACAGCCCCAACAGAAAAAGGTTAGTAAAGCAGTTAAAATTCAAAACTCTTCGTGTAAAACTTACCTTGAGTAGGTCTTATCGTTTTTTGTTTTGTTTTGTTTTTTTACTCTCCGGGTTTAACTGAAAAGTAGTTCGTAACGGAGGTTCCAGTTTACAAATCTTTTACCAGCTTCTCCGCTCAGCAGCACTACGGCTCAACTGACTCTCTACTGTGAGTTAATTTCAGTTAGCCGGAGTGAGTGACTCTATATCCGGTCAGGATTTTCAAAATACAATAACTATCAATAATCTTTTTAATTTATTTCGAACACAAAAGTACTGAAATAAAACCAGCAAAACGGGAGAAGGTAGAGGTGAAAACAACATTTTTTTTTACAATATATAACAATAATTTATAAGAAGAACTCATCTTCAACCATGTATTTTCCCAAACATTTACTTTTTTTGTGTTGTTTGAGCTGAAAGTCACAACTGGATATTTTGTGACCTGTTATTGCCGAATAATTAGAGTAATTTTGGTAGGCCAACCATTACAGAACCCTATTTTTAAATGCTGATGTCATTTAGTAATTTGACCTTAAGTGAAGGTATAATTACCCCCTCCAACCAGTTAAATCTCAATTTGCAGGCCAAACCAATGACTGATTACAGCCTCATCTGCTGAATCAATACCCCAGTTAAGTATGAAAGAGGCTGGAGGATCTCAAAAAGCGAAACATCATAATAAACCAAATGAGAGAATTACAAGTAAAAAGTCAGAATTCTGATATTTGATTATTAAATTACATTATATTTGATATAAGTCAAAATTATTTTTTTCCTAATCCTTATCTGTAAGTTTTCAACATCAAGTTTCTCTGTGGTAGTCGTGAAGGGCTTTTATTTTGAAGGCAAACGCAACTGACGGAAGTTGACGTCAGTGCAGCTTTGTAGGACGCCTTACTGACGTAACATCCTCAAATACTTTTGGGATTACTTTCCAGATTTTGTGGAGGTTTTATAAGTTTTTATTTCCTTTTCAGAGGTAGACAGTACAATAAAGACCAATTACATTTCACTTTGTATTTTAGAAACATATTCTGATTACAATTAATGCTGTTATTAAATCTGGTTCCATATCTATTTGTTGGCTTGCTGTCATCACTAGCAGACTACAGTTGTTGCAGTGTGGGTCTGTAGGGAGATTTTTTTTTTTAATTAAAAGCAAATTTGCTTGTTATGCTCCCTCAATCAAGATAAATGGCTGAAAGTTTCTTAAATATTCTAAACCAAAAAATATTTAAGAAACTGCCCCCAAGACTCTGAAGAGTCTTGAAGAGTCCCAGAAGAGTCAAAGTTCAGGTAGCAGGTGAACAATATTGCTAATAAGGCATTTTGTAGCAACACACTCATGTGTAAACCAGCTTACTTCCACATACTCAGATGTACGTATCTGAGCATGTATCTGTTTCTAAAGTGCCCTCCTCTTCGTTAGAAACACAACGCCCAAAACGCATCTTTAGAGAAAGGAAACTTAAATTATTACGTTTCTGTGTTTTACCAACATTAACCTGTGCAAATCGAAACTCTCCTGCAAGAAGAAACTGACTAAAAATGAAATCTGACCACAGCTTTATTTAGCAAAGAGAACAATGCATACTTTAATAACATAATAAATCACATTTTAAACTTTTCTTATCAGAGCTTCAACAGAAAAACGTGAATGTACTCAAACCTGAGTAAAAATCAGTTAAAATTAAATGTTTCTTGGGATAGAGAAAAAATAATTAAGTCACATCCAGAATTAGCTCACAGCTGCAAACAGATAGTGATAAAAGCTGAATTGTTTCTGATCGTGTAATGAAAACCAGCAGTGGGAACCAAGTACGGCTTTACCCAGTTCCTTTAACCATGGGAATTTCCCCAATTTCTACTGAATTTAACCTCACAGGTGGATATGCAGCTGATACTTTGTGCTTTGGGGATTTTTGGTTAGAAATTACCACATTTATGCTTAATATATATGGTAACATCTCCATGAGGAATGAAGAAACATTTTTCATTGTGGGGAATAAGGCGAAATCAAGCTTTTATTGACAAAAAAACATTATGATGAAGCATGACTCCATGGGAAAACAAAGATGATTAAAAAAAATTTTGTTTTAAATAGTCTCAGTTACATTCATTAATGGCTTTAGGAGTCTTTAGAACAGTTTAACAACGTAAAAATGGAGGATTTAATAAGAAAAATAAGCATGAGCACAGAATAAGAATCCTGTTACATAATTTTTTTGTGTTTGTAAATAAAAACCACATTGTCATCAGCATACCATGACACATTTACCTTAAAAAACAACTAATGTGTTTCTTTTTCAAGGCGGGGTTAAAGATGTATCAGAATGACCTGCTTCAATCAAAATTAAATAGCAAAAGTTTCTTTTCTTGTTGATTTCACAAAATTATAACAACTTAGATTTAAAATTTTATCAGTACTGTCATTACTTTGGGTTGTTTAAATGGGTAGAAAAGGCTTCACTTTTGCCCATTTCAATTTAATTCAAAAACACATAATTAGTCACAAAGGGAAATTAAATATTTGTCCATTAGAAGGTGATTTCACACAGTGATTAATCACAAGACAATGTTAAACAACTGTCTCTGTGTTGCTTCCAATATCCTCTGAATTTAAAAAAAAAAAAAAGATTTTCGTTACTCATCGGGGCTTAAATGATTGGAAAGTCTTTAAGAACGTATCAAGTACATTCTAACTACATATAGACTTTTATATAAGATCTCTGACGTAATGCATATTGAATTTGTCAAAATGCAAAATGGAAGTTCTCGTTATTCTAACACATAAGTCTAAATTAAAAAAATAAATAAGGTGCGGTATTCTGCACTGAATACAGTCCTTGTAAAGCATGAGCATTTAAAAAACATTTTGGGATCTATAAACATTTAGCAACTCTAATTCTGCATATAAACTTCTTAACTTTAAAACCATTTGCATTCATAATACCTCTATTTTTTCCAAAGCGCAGCTTCTCTCCTTCACACACCTCGTCCTCGTTGTTAGCACCCTTTTTGGCAGATCAGAGTTAGGTGCAAGTAATCGACAATCATGCATAGTTCAGGTCGTAGATCATCGGCGTCATGAGGATATTTCCTACAAACACCCAAAGTCTCCATCTGTTAAGCTTTACCGATCGCTCTGCATTTGAACAACAGTTTGCCACTGTCGGAGAAACGAAGGCTGGCCGTTGATAAAACTCTGGGTGGTTTTTTGCTCCAACAGTAAGACAGAGGAAGTCATTCCAAGTCAGTAACATGGCCTCACTTCCATGTGGCTGCGGCGGGACGGGCGCCAACACTCCCCCTGGCGCCCTTTGAACCCAGCAGCTGACCCGAGCGGCTCCGCAGGTCACGCTCGGCGCTCTCGCTCTGCGCCTGCTCCTCGTCATACCTGATGGAAGACAAACAGCGCGACTCAGATCCGGTTTCCTCCTCTGTTTGCTCTGACATGGAGCGTGTAAACACACAGTCTAAACCTTTCTGGGTTCAGGCTTAACATCACAACGTCTGGATAAAGTGCATGTCTCTGACACTAAACGGCCTTCAATAGCTCAGTTGGTAGAGCGGAGGACTGTAGGGGAACATCCAGGCATCCTTAGGTCGCTGGTTCAAATCCGGCTCGAAGGAGCTTCTTTTTTTTTTTATTCCTAGCACTTTGCATTCCCAATAAAATCTACACAAAAAACCCCTGCATAGCTACATATAATCAACTACCTCTACAAAAATATCAGAAACTTTTCACATTCAATCAACACAAAAGCAGCTTCAGCTCCATAGCAACTCCCAATAATAAGACAAATATAGATTTAAGCAGAAAATTAATCATACGTCTGGCAAATAAAAGTTTTGAACAATCTTCATTCAACCAAGAAGTTTGTTTCTGACTGGAAATGAGTTTGTTTGCCCCAAAGTTGAAAATAAACAGAGTATTTTATTTTACATGTCAGAGTTAAAACGAAATTAGGAAAAAATACACTTTAAAAATAAACATATTTACAATCATTTAAATTTAGGAATGAATAAACGAATAATTGCATTTCAGATCCAATTATTAAAAGTGAAATTCCTAATTCTAAATCAGATGTAATTATCTCCATATTCATGTAAATAATTTAATATTTTATGTGTTACACTGATTAGTGCAGAGTTAACCTTTAACACTAACATTAGTCATATTTTATAAAATAATTTTAAAAACAGGGGGAAACAATCTTGAACTTATTCAAAAATAAAATCTGAACTAATTTTATAGTTAATAAAACCTCAATGTATTTGTCTCAATTTAACTTTAATCATTTAGGAATTAATTTATTGGTTAAATTGTGACTGAAATGATCCAATAAACAGGTCAAACTTAATGTTTACATTCATTTCCATCTCAACCTTTGACCTAAAAGCAACTCCTTCGAGCCGGATTTGAACCAGCGACCTAAGGATTCCTGATTAGTCCACTACAGTCCTCCGCTCTACCAACTGAGCTATCGAAGGGTGTGACAGTATTGACATAACAGTGGAGTCTACACATTACTGCTTTGGAGGGAAGGCGCAGATCTTTCTTTTTTTTTTTTAAGTTTGTAAATAAAATAAAATAAAATAAAATAAAATAAAATAAAATAAAATAAAATAAAATAATAGACCTAACAATATCTTAGTTTTGGGACTAAAATAAACACTTTGCTATCAAAGAAAATCAAAAAGTAATTGGCAGAAAACAGGATATAGATCAGCTGAAAAAAAACCTGGACTCTAAATAAAAACTGTAAATCAAATTAAATTCAACTTAATGATGCTCTTTTCAGATGCAGAACAGGTCTAATTGGATTTTTTTCTGACAAATGTTCAGCTCATGTTTTGCTATTTAAAATCTCCAGCTTTAATCCAGATGTTTTGTCCTCCATGATGGATTCTTTAACCCCACTGAACCAGCGGAGGGTTTCTGAATTAAAGTCACTCACAGGACTTGGTAGTTGCCCAGGGCCTCTCTGGGCGGACTGCGATTCCAGCGGCAGTCTGGGATCTCCCCGTTGGGCATGACGATGTTGAGCGTGTCGTTGATGAGGTTGTATTTCAGAATGCGGTCGTTGGCTGTGCTGGAGGTCAGCGACGGAGAGGCGTTAACCTGAGGGTCACAAACAGCACCATATTTACAGCAGTAGAAGAAGAAGAAGAAGAA